AGTTGATTAGTCAGTTGATTTCGGATACCAGATGGTTATATCGAAAAAGAGAGAATTTTTTTTTATTCAAAATCTGATGGTTGCATATATAGCAATGATCTCTCTCTTTGTTATTTAGTTGTACAGAACTCTTTTTTTGGCAAAAAAGAGTAAAAACTTGTCATGACTCAAAGAGGAAAATTACAATCTTACTAATACATATACTATACTATTACATAGTTAATTATGTTTATTTCAATGGTTAATTAGTAATTGGATTAGGCCTGGATTAAAGAATTTAAACTTTTATGATGAACATCAAGAGGTGGCAATGCAATAAGGCTCCCAAATTAGTAAAGACCTCTTTGCCTCTTTGCATCCTCTTTGCAAAGGTACCAAATAGTTCATATTTGTTTTGTTGTTCCCTCTCATTAAAACCAAGTCTTGCTGCTCAAATGCTGCTATGTTTGTTGTACTCTTGGCTTTGGTAGCAGTACTATTGGTTGCAAGAAAGTTGTTGCATTTTGTTGCAACTATGGGACTGTTGGCAATGCTTACAACTGTTGGCTTCTTCCTCCAAAAATACTCATAGGCATTGAAAGTTGCCGAGCCCGAGGCCACGGTCGGTGGTGGTGGAGATGGCATTAGCTGAGTTGGGAGTGACTGAGGAATTGTGGTTATCTGACTTAGCTTCTCCATCAGTTCAGTTGAACCTACAGAACCCGTTAAGTTGACAATAACTTTATTAAACTTTTTAGACCATGTTACTAAATTCTTCATATTTATCACCCCACTTGATAATCTTGCCTTTTGCTCCATCAATATATTCTCATTTTCTATCTCCTCCTCTTCTTCTTCTTCTTGTTCAGGAAAATCAATATTATTGTAATCAAATTGAGATGTTTGATCATCAATATCGTCGAACACTTCATCAAATTCTTCCCCATAATCCTCCATCTCCGATTTTGATGATGAAGTAGGAGTACTATCATCAATGAAGGTGAGAAGAAGGCGACCATCGTGGCGATGGGCACGAAAAAGATTTCGAGGAGGAATAGATATAGCTTCAAGAATCAATCTACCATCTTGGCGTTGAGATTTCATGTGAAGGGAAGGCTTGTTGTCCCCTCTAGCCAAGGAAGGAATTGGAGGAGGAAAAGATTTAGGAAAAGAAGATGATTTCTTGCTATAATTATATTTTACAACTCGCAATTCCTCAAAGGATTGCGAGCAGTATTGCTGTTGTTGTTCGTCTTTTTCCTCCTCTTCTACATCTCCGGTTTCAGAAGGAGTGTAGGAGGAAAAGCTATCAGAGCCAGTCTCCGATCCAAGACTTTCAGTACAAATTTCAAGACTTTTTTCACTCAAAGAACTAGTTGATCTTTTAACAAGAGGATGAATATAAGGAGTTTCAAGATTCGACATGTCATCATCATCTTTCTTTTTCGACAAAATTGAGCTCCAAACATCAAATGATTTATGATCAGTAGCAGAAACAACAGCAAGATCTTTTGATGAAGCAATTTTTTTCATAGGAGAAAAAAATCCATTTTGTGCTAGCCATTGTTTAGAGGACATATCAGCTGAAAATGTTCTTCTAATTGAGGGTGCACTTGATTTTCCTCTTTCAGATTCTGATCCAAGAATTGACACTATCCCTTGTTTCACTTTACTTGCCTTAGGCAAAGGTATTATTGGTGGTTTACTCAATTGTGGTGCAATTGTTTCTTCTTCCATTCTTATAGATGACTTGATTTTCTTGTTGCTTATACAAGTTGTTGATATCTTCATAGGCCAAGAAACAGATAATAGAAGAAGATAGAAAAGAACAGTGTCCAATTGGATGACAGTTGCAAGCTAAGAGAGGACAAAAAAGGGGGAAAAATTATGTAAGATACTATTATTGCTATTTGGTATGTATAGAGAGTATGGGGTGTTTTTGGTTACTATGTTTCTGAATGCAAATAAAAGGGGAAGAGGTTGTCAGGATATTTGTAGGTGTCCAAAGAGCCTAATGGAATCTTGTGCGAGGGACCCTCCTCTTCCCTCTGTTTATTATTACTTTTTGGGCAAATATCACTTTTAGCATGCGTCAAAAATTATTTATATTTAATAGCCGAAAAGATATAAAAAATTTATATAATTTTTGTATTTAGCATGTATATATATATATATATATATATATATATATATACAAAAATACACATTTTTACTATTATTTTGAGAACGGCTATACAATGTCATTTTTCCTTATTTTTTGTTTGTTTTCCGCTCGTTGTCCGACACCCCGCTTTTGGACCCCAACTAATTCGGATTCATACATCGTAAGTCCATTAACAGGAAAAGTACTCACTACAAGGATTTTTAAAAATTTTCAAGGGTTCGAACTCGAGACCTTTGATTTAGGGTAGATGGATCCTTTTTTATCCCAGTACAACCCTTGGTAGTCCCTCTATTTAGTTTATTTTTTAAGTTTTCCATCCATTGTCCCGCACCTTGTTTTTGGACCCCGACTAATTTGGATTCACGCTTCGTAAGTCCCATTAAAATGAAGTGCTCCCTACAAGGACTTTTTTTGTTTAAATTTTCAAGGGCGACTAGAACTCTAGACCTTTGATTTAGGGTAGAGGGATCCTTTCTATCTTACTACAACCCTTAGTAGTCCCTCTATTTTTTTTTTAGTTTTCCATCCATTGTCCCACACCTCGCTTTTGGACCCCTACTAATTTGGATTCACGCTTTGTAAGGCCCACTATAAGGGGAGTGTTCCTTACAAGGATTCTTTTTATTTTCAAGATTCGAACTCGATATCTTTGATTAAGGGTGGAAGGATCATATCCTTCTTGGGAGGAAATTTAGGATTTAAATTAACATTTAGGATTTTTAGCATTGAGCCTATTGACTTTTTAAAGTTATGGATTCATATTGCTATTTATTATAATATTAGTTAATTTTTACATATAAATTTATTTTTTCGCCAAAAGTACTAGGTTGAGTTGAACCCAGTGCCGATACATTGAATCCGCCTCTGGTCCTTCGTAGTCCCTCTATTTTGCTTATTATTTCTATTGCTAAAATTACAATAGTATGTTTAAGTTTTATAAGCGAGCAAGGACGGAGGGTGAGTAAAATCTACGGGTTCGGCCGAATCCAGTAGCTTTGGTCCAAACTATGTATTTGATTTAAAAAATTTATTGAACATGTATAAATTATTAATTTAAAAAATCCAATAATTTAAAAAATTTAGAATTCGTACCCATAAGTTTTAAATTCTGGCTCTTTCTCTTTTAAAGCAAGTGTGTACAAATTTTTACACGCCCAGTATAGTTTAAACGGTTTTAACGAGTAACTTATTCTTCTTTTTCAAAGTTATTATCCGATGTTCATTATTAAACAGTTACTTGCTGTTTAATTTTAAAGTTATTTGATTGTAAAAAGAGATTTTATATTGTTAATGCATACAACTTAAACTTACCATACAGACATTCCTTATGATAAGATTAATTTAATCTTTACAATAATGCAAGCAAGATCCGACTTCACCAAATTGCCCCTTGAGGTATGAGTCCGGAACTAAAGTATAGTTCATTTGGACTCAAAAAATACAATTAGGTTAAAAATAAAATTGGTCACCATTTTATATATAGTGGGGTTATTCACCGCGCTATATCTTAACGACAATTTTGTCTGTTAAGATATAGCACGGTGAATAATCGGGCTATATTTGAACTTAAAATGGACGGGGGGAGGAGGGGGGGGGGGGGGGGGAGTATAACGCACATATATAAGGCGCTATAGTATAGCATCTTATATATATGCGCTATACCTATATAAAAAAGCGTGCCATCTCCTTCCCCCACCAGACGCGAACCAGAACCCCCAAAACCCAAAAATCGATCCCCCCTCCATTTTTAAAGAAAAAACTCAGTGGAGCCCACCCGTCCCACAAAAAACGTATCTTGTCCGTATTGTAGAAAGCTAACACCGAATCTAAGGCATTATCGTGTAGTGGTTTGCTCGTTTCGGCCCCTAAATCATCCAATCTTCACCTTGCAAAAAATTATAAATCGAGTATTCATACTTATTTTTTGTCAAAACTCAAGTATAAAAATGTGTATTAGTTATTTTTTTACTATGGTCTATTTTTTTTGTGATTGTTTTGTGATTTCATTAGTTTGTCTTTTTTTATCTGGATCAGATTATTTTTGTGCTAAATAATTAGTAAAATTGAGAAATTATTATTTTATGAATAATTAATGTTATTAGATGTTATAAAAATATTTATTAGTTATTTTTTAAAGTGGTATATGTATTTTCGTAATTAAATTAATTTGTTATTCTTTATCCGGATTAGATTATTTATTGTGTAGTTATTTTTTATCCGGATTTTATTGTTGTACATATATTAATATGTGACTTTATTGTTGTTTAGTGCCCTTTAGTGTTATGTTGTGCCCGTAACTTTAATGTAGTGCCCTTTAGCGTAGATAAATGTAGTACCTTTTGGCTTAGTATCTTGATAATTATTGAAGTTAATCATTTAATTATCTGTTAACCCCAAAAATATCTGAAAAGGATGATAGTTCAAATACAAACTGTCTCGAATTTTAGTCAACAAATGTAAGAAAATAATATAAATAACAACAATATTTGTCGAACTAAGTATTTTTATATAAGTACTTATTAATTATATCACGTATAGTTATAAAAATTAATTATTTAATTCTATTATACCCAAAAATAGGTGAGTAAGAAACAAACATATAAAATAATAAATAAATATAGAAAGTAATAAACTAACATATAAAATAAGAAACAAACATATAAAATAGTAAACTAACATATAAAATAATAAACTAACATATAAAATTATAATATAGAAAACGTACCAACCTAAGTAATAATATAGTAAAAATATCAATTAAATATTAATATAAAAGATATTGCAATATATTTAAAGATGTTAAGCAATTAAAAAGAAAAATACTTTAATTAATATTGTTCGATTTACAGACATCGTCATGGAGGTTCCCCCTGTGCATCCCGGACTTGCATCTCTAGATCTACTGTTGCTACAGGCCAACCATAGGTCATCATACATACAGGATGGGCAGTGTTTGTCCCATACATTCCGCACCAGACGTATAGATGATATGTGGGAGTTCATTAAGGACCACACACTCCATCCCCGTATAGTTAGACGCCTTCATGATATAGGTTTCTACAAGATCATAGAGATCGTCCTGTTGAAGTTCAACTGGGCGTTGATCACGACTATGATAGAGCAGTGGAAACTGGAGATGAACACGTTTCATCTACCCATCAGCGAGGCTACCATCACGCTTGAGAACGTGGAGGTTCTTTTCGGGCTGCCGGTTGATAGATTACCTGTAGCTTACCCGCATGCTCTCAGAGACTATAGGGGATTGCATTACCTGCATATGTTACAGCGTCTCACCGGATTCCAGCCTGCGGAGGAGACTACATTGAGTGGGGCCAGTCGTTTGCAGCTGAAGCCCGTCCGACAGCATCTGGAGGCGATGTATGCGGAGATTACGGATGATTCACCGCCGGAGGTTATCGACCGACACACGAGATTGTTGGAGTTGCTGATGTTTGGTGGGGTACTGTTTCCGAATACTTCGGAAAACCTAGTCAACTTGAGATTTCTACATCATCTTGAGCAGCTAGATGATTTACCTGATTATAGCTGGGGTGCAACTGTTCTAGGTTACCTGTATATGCAGATGTGTCGGGCGTGCACGGGCACCAGAGAGACGTTGTCAGATTTTTACCGCTAGCGCAGGTGAAAACATAGTCAATTCTTTTCATGATTATGACATACATAGTAAAAACAATATCTTAAATTTTACGTCTACAATTTATATTAGGTTTGGGCCTGGGAGTGATTCCTGCAGTTCCGGCCACTTTTACCACCCATCACTTCGGATGCACCACTTCTACCGTTTCTACCTTTATCTTGTAGATGGGTTGATAGGCGAGGCTACATACGCGAGGTCGAGGCTCGACATCATCTCTCCTATTGCAGGGATTTGTCGGACATACTTGAAGGCGCGCAGGTACATGTATTCTTAAGTTTACTTGGCCTGGATTTATATGTGTTGCGTTTACTCACGATTCGTGTGTTTAATTAATAGTTCTCATACCTCTTTGATCTTGTACCTTATGAAATCTTCAATGTGTTGAATCAAGACAAGATAAATCAAGTCAACATTCAAGTTAAAATGATTCCCACTGAATGTGTCCATTTCACAATTGTGGGTGCATATATATTTCCCCACAATCCATATATTTATTTTCAACTTTCTCGCACGCAACATCCAATTACAACCTTGAAACCATATACGATAAATAACCTTGTATACTTCCGGAGATGACTCGTGAACCACAATCTCACAACACTCTTTTATGCTTTATATTCGCACCGCCTTGCTTAGGCGCGCTTTATCAACAAAAAGCATGCCCTTTGACAGCACCATTGCTCTAGATTCATCCCACATTGCTGTCTGAATTTCGTCAAGATCCCTTGTGAGGGCACGGACATCCGGCGTACTTGGCAAATGATCAAGGTAGGGAACATCCCTTGAATAAAACGACACATGGGACTCGTACACTCTTGGTCTAACGGGAGGTGGAGCATACTCCTTCGTCAAATCAGGTTCATCACTCTCGTCCTCATCATCGTCACCCTCATCAGGGAAGAGTGTGTCATCTCCAGACTCGTCGGCATTGTTGTCATAATCACTATCATCTTCCTGACTCTGCGCATCTTCTAAATCCCGATTAAATATGTCGTCTTCGGAAAATTGAGTAAGGACAGGACCTTCAAGTTGCTCATTTTCACTACACAACCAATAAAATAATGAGTTTCTCAAATTCATCAAAAATTTATATATAAACTTTATCACTTCACTTATAAATCATAATGTGTTGATATCCCATGATGCACATTATCTTGTTGGTGATGACTCCCGGATGGACCACCATGATCCAACACACCAAAACTAGGCATATTCCAACTGTCAGTTGGTTCATAACTTAGTAAAATTTATATCTGGCCAGTATCCCATTGGAATATACGAGTATTAATACAAATTCAATACATAAAAATAAATATCGTAACACAAAGAAAAATTGAAGTTTACCACATCGCTTGCGGATTATGTAAACTTGGGGAGAAATTATATACTCGCTCCTCATTCGCCAGTGGAGATAAGTTTAGATCAGGCCAAACTCTTTCACCCGGAACCTGTTCGACTAAAACTGCCACCCGATGATTAAGGGATATCCCTGCTTTGCGGAACCTCATTATTGCGAACGTCTTCAGCCTTGACGTACATTTTCAATATTTTTATCACATGAAGTTCTCGGTGTTCATCCGGAGTCCTCAAAAAATCTGTCAGAGTTTCATCATCTTCGATATTAAACTCAGTATAACAAGCAACCCCTTGCGGAGTAACAGAATAAGGATATCTCCCGGTTACTTTAATATTCACCGAACGTTTGCACACACTCATTTTCTTACATAACAACGATACCAATCTATCGTACCCCATTGTAAGTGGCAACTTAACATGACACTGTAGAGAACAACTATGCCGTACTGAGTTATTCTCCGCCACAACCTCCCCCTTCCCCCCCACCCAATATAATAAAACCCTAATTTTTTGCTCGTCGGACATTATGACAAAATGCAAAATAACTTAACGAATAAATATTTCGAAAGACTTGAAGGATGCTGAATGTATTTTTACAAAATTCTGAAACTCCTTAAATAAGGAAAAACCCAGCGCGAGGGTACAATTATTTGATGTATAGCGCTTCCATAACACGCGCTATACCCATATGAATTATTATTGCGTCAGTTAAGTGCAAATGACTTATTGGTGGGGCCACATTTTATATATAGCGAGATTATTTACCGCGCTATACCTTAACGGACAAAATTATCGTTAAGGTATAGCGCGGTGAATAACCGCGCTATATATAGAATGGTGCCCAGTTATTTTTAACCTATTTGTGTTTCTTGAGTCCAAATGAACCATACTTTGATTTCGGACTCCTTGAGGTATGCCCTTCCGATGGGTTGTTCTGTTATCTATCTTTTCCATCCAGTGCCTGCACTGCGTCAGAAATATTTAGTTTATAATTTTAGTAAAATAAACTGAAAATTAAATGACCATCCGCTAAAGAATTATAGAAAAACAAAAATGGTGAGGATTAAAGGGAGAGGTACACATAGTACTAAGTGTGCAACTCTCATTTTCACCATTATGTGAACATTCTTATTTAGTAGTTCGTAAATGGCATTTTACTAAGTTGAATGAACCATTGGGGAATGTTTTTGAAAGCTACTTTTCATTTGGCTTTTTACCAACTTACTTCTTTTTTCTTGTTTTCTCGTCCGGGTGTCTGATATTAGCTTTGGGGTTCCGACTAATTCGGATTCGCGCGTTTGGAATCTCACTTTGGGGGTAAAACGCTCCTTACCAAAGATGACTCTATATCTGTCTCAGACTCGAGGCTTCTGGTTAAAGATAGAGGAGTATTTACCATTTCACCGCAATTTTTTTCGTGATTTTAGTTTCACGTTTATTTGTCCACCTCTAGCTAATTGACTTAGGCAATTTACTTTTGCTTTTTTCCAGGTTATTATTCAACTTAATCAGATTTTATCATCTTATCACAATACTGTTAATACCTATCATCATCTTATCCTGATAAATAATCTTCATCTAATTACCTCTAATTAAATATCAAAAGAGAAAGAATTGGAAAGAATGTATGCTGTGAATTTATGGAGCTCGATATATATATTTGTAAGCATACTCAGTTGAAAAGAAAACTCAATTAATCTGAATTTGTGCTTTGAAAGACCTATTAAAAGGAAATCCTACGAAAATTTGTTCATTCACAAAACTTGTAAGCACTACTATTAAAATCTTTAACAAACTTACAGATATAATCTTGTTTTTTTAAAATAATTAAATAAAATAGCTGAGAAAGGACTTAAGTATATGATTAAGTGATTTAATAAAGTAATAGTATGTATTAATTAACATTGAATAAGTTAAAGAAATCTATAAACAGACACATGTAACTATCTATATATTAATTCGGTATAAATATTTAATGAGTGTAAGTTTTTACCGTCAATGTAAAACAAAATTGAGTTTTCCATCCAAAAAACAGGTGACAAAAAAAAGCAATATAATTAAATAGAATGTTAGTACAAATTTAGGTATAGTGACAAAGGGGGATAAGAAAAATGGCTTAAAGAACAAGCAAAGCAATCACCTCTATGAGGGTAGTTGTCATGCAAAAGCAACTCCATCAAAAGAATTGTCATAATTTATCTTTTTAAAATAAACTACTTTTACTATTAGGAGTTGTTTGGTTTGAAAACATATTATACTGAAATTAATTATATTGAAGTTAGTTATGCTGTGAATTAGTTAGGATTATCAATTTTACTGTTTTATCCTGGGATTACTATTCTACCTTTTGATAGGTATAAGTTATCCCGATACTATTTTTAATCCTGGAATAACTTATTCCAGGATTAGTAACCAAACAAGGAATACGGCGGTACTAAATTTTTATCCAAAAATTATTTTTTCTTATCCATCATGCCAAACGACCCCTTACTCTTTAAAAAAAACTAATAATACTAAAGATATACATGGAATGAGAAGCCCTAAATTACAACTTGAGAGTATCCGTAAAAACTTGTCCTTTCTGGAAAACCACTTGGAAATAAAAATTTAAAAGATTGATATTTCACAATATTTTTATGATGAAGAAAAGAATAGAATCAAATTGGCAGTATATACCTTGTATTCTCATGCTCAAAATAAATTATATTAAATAAAGTTAGGGGCGGTGGACTCCCAAAAAACAAGTCTTTCGATAAGCAAATCAAAAGCTTAGCAAATGCAATATGTATAAAGTCTCCTCTATTAAAGAGATTTGTACTAATTGTCTTCTTAGGTCAACTATCTTTGCAATTTGATTTCTCACTCGGTGTTCCGTATTCGCATCAGAACTTCGGCTAATCCAAATTTTATAGGTAAGCCCTATTATAAGGGAAATACGCTCCCTATTAGAGTTTTTTTTTTCATTCACCAACTATTAAAATGTTAGAATTAACGACGAACAAATGTTATCAATGACGAAATTCGTAACTAATTTTTTTGTTTTTGTTTTTTTTTGTTTAAGTGATAGTGCTCGAATCACGTAATTCTGATTAAGAGTTGAGGGTCCATCCACTATAACCCTTGGTAGTTCAGAATACTACTTAACTGCATATTCGATATATTAGGATAAACATTTAGAATATTTTAGGTCACAAAGCATTTATTTTATCTTTAATTAACTAAAAAATAAAAAAGAATTGGTATAGGGTGACAGAAGGATGAACTGATTCTGAGTTGACTCAATTCAATATATTAAAGTAAAGTCCAGAATTGTTTAATTTATTAATTAAGTATAGTACCATTATTTATGTTACTATCATGCGTCTTTCTCATTCTTTAATTTTATTTTTTATTTTTTGGATTAAAGTATCTTGTTTAGTGCCTTGACAAACCTACTCTGATTCTTTACTAATAAAGCTATTACCAAAGTCAACAAATTGTTCTTTTAAAAAAAGTCAACTAATTGTTGGCTTTGTGGAAATAGTGCGACCTAAAACGAGTAGACAATTTAGAAGTTTTAAGTTATATGTATTATTTAACTTTGCTTATTTTCCTTTAATTTTCCTAAGGCTTCTCCAACCTCA